TGTCACACTTTTTGTTGCGGGAAAGTCCTTCGCAGCGGCTGGGGAGACGTGGGAGGCCGGCGGGTTTTGGGTGGTTTTCTGGGCGGCTCTTATCGCAAAGTTGTTCCATGGGCAACAGCCGAGCCGGTGGTGGAGCTAGTAAGGGCAGGGAAGGGTCCCATCAGAACCTGCTGGGTTTTCTTCAACAAGTGTCCCATGCCATCTCCAATGGTAGGCGAGTACACATACTGAGGACGAAGCGAATTACAAAATCGCGGACCAGCCGTAGTGTGGATATGTGTACGGATACCTCGCTCCCTATTCGCATGATGCCCAGTGCTCGGTGCGGCGGACAGTGCCTGGAAACACCCCGCAAGGCGCCGACTCCCCCTGCCCTGGTCTCCATGTGCTCCATGTGGGTAAGTGCCGCCCTTTGGCACTTGCCCGAAATTGCCTACGACCCCCCAGAAAAAAAGTCCTGGTAGGGGGGGGGGGGCTAAGACCTCTTTAGGCGCTGGTAGTCACCTGTTGATGGTTGTTGCGAGCTTTCCAGCAGCTTGACGCAAGTTTCCTTTCCGTTTCCAGCCTGGTTCCTGAGCTATGTAGGTCCATTGTACACCGTCTCGGACCACACAGACACCACAAGCAACCTCGAGCTGCTTTCGTTTCTTTTTCCCTCGCACACATTCGTTTTTAGCCCTTGAATTCCTAGGGAGAGGGTTCCCTGTCTTTTCAATTATCGCCATCCACCAGAAACGCAGAAACGAAACGCTCAACCGACGACCTGACTAGCCTGGCTCCATAGCGCTGTTGTTCTTGCCGGGTGCTGCGCTGTACCGAGCAGGTACCTCGTACATACCCTGAACTGGAGGCGGCCCGGTGTACCACGGCCGCTTCGTGCCTTCCCTCCCGGCCGACCTTACCCTGCCTTCAATCCTTCTCTCACACAGAGGCACTTCTCAGTCCAAGTTTGATGAGTCGTTGTTGTCTGTTCTCCCACTTCTGCTCCCAGCCGCCATATTACGAGACAGCATCGTTACTCCCGTACTCTCAAACCCAATCGACCTAGCCGCTTGGCTGTTCGTGAGCTGGGCCACTCCCTGGGGCCAGACCCCGTCTGGAGCCGCACCCGAAGCTCCATAGCATTCCTCAACCTGGCATTTCTCATCCGCCTCTGTCTGTCTTTGCATGGTACGTGATGTCCAAGGGTGTAACCGCCTCTCACTCTCCCGTCTGCAAATAAGCAAATCTCGGTCGCCACCTCACCAACGGGCGCCGGGCCCCTGCTTGCGTCACGCTCCCTTCTCCAACCCCTAGTCCCGCCGTCCAGCACAAGTCTTGAGACCTGGAGCCGAGTCTTCGCCTCCTCCGTCCCCTCTATCTAAACCTCACCCCCGCCAAGTTGAATGTAAACCCCCCCAATACTCGGGTTCATATACGTCAGCCGGACAAGCTACTCCCCTGCTCTCTGACATAAGCTGTCCTGACTGGCCTGCAAGTCACCGGCTTGGTCCCGCGAATCTGGGGAGGGAAGCAAAATTTTGACGAAAATTCTCATCTGCTACCCGAGAAGAGAGAGGTGTTCTGCGCAGTTGTGACTGACTCTAACAGTCTTCCCACTGTCTAGATCCTACCTGGTTCTTTCCTCACTGAACTCTTATCCCGGGCTCGATCGAGTTTCATGGCTCCGCTCCAGTAGGATCGAGGGACATTCCTGTCTAAGACGGCCGATCATGGTCGGCAGGTCACCCTGAGGTGCCCGCCCATCCATCTTTCAGTCCACGACCTCTGCTCACGCCCCGTCATCCCATTACCATGGCCATGATACTGCCCAAGGGCATTCTCGAAAACACGAGTGAAATCTACGCTGAGGTGGCTAGCTATCCGGTTGTGCCGCCGGAGAAGATTTGGCAATACTGGAACGGTATTTACAACACGCCGCCCACTGAACGTGCCGGTTGTAGACTAATACATATGACCAGTTTACACAACTACGTTTCGAAGGCTTGTTGACCCTACCGCGTACCGCCTGGAGAATTTTTGGTGGCATGTCTGGGGAAGCGATAGGCGCAACTTGAGCGGGCCTGCGCTTGCGAGGCTCTTTGAGGAGTTCTCCATGGGCCCGACCTTCGTGCCGCTCAGGAGCCCTGCGAACCGATATGAAGGTCCCACGGTAGGGGTTCATCACTAGCCTGTTTCGTGTCTAGGTGCTGACCAACCCCGAGACGCCTAGGTTCATTCAGCAAGGGCTTGACATACTCAACTCCGAATCAGTCCAGATGAGCCAAGGGCAGAGCTCCAGCTCGTCGAAGGGCGGTGTCAAGTCGCCAACCCCATCGTCCTCTAGACCGCCTCCACCCCATCCGATACTAAAAAAGTCACGGGGCCCCTCGGCATCAGGACCCCGCCCTACTGCTCGGTTTGTTTCGCCCCCGGGTTCCGACGATGAAGATATCAGGGACGGGGAGGTGTCCTCCGGTAGCACAGCGATGACGGCATCGGAAATGCCGCCGCCGCCCCTCCCATCGCCGGCGAAACGAGAGGAGATACCCGATGCTGCTACGACCCCAGCTTTTGTAACCCCTGTGGCGAAGGCAGCTCCCGTTCCTGCCCCAACCGTGCCAACGGCGGCGTTACCTCGGGTGGAAATGCGACCACCCCCTATTCCGTCACCGGCTAGGAGCGGGAAGAGCGCAAACCCAACGAGAAGGATCGTTGCCTCGACGGCAGCCTCTAAGCGGAGACCGGTAATACCACGCAGGGCAAGTTCACAGTCCTCCACGGGCTCTGAAACGGGGGTTCGCGAGGCTGTTACTACCATGGCGGCCGCAGCAAGGCAGCGGACGATGCTTAATGCTATGGAACATAGCGGCCGCGGCAGTTCCCATGATAGCGCGGCGTCATCATCGTCGCAGACCAGCCAATCATCAGGATTGACCATGAAAGCAGTTGGGAAAAGATCCGCCAAGTCTTCATCGGGCAGGCGATCCGCCCCGCGAACCGGCCCTTCGCAAGCTGACGGTCAACAAGAACGTCCCGTCGCAGTCCAGCCGGGACCCAGCGCTGTTCCGCAGAGGAGATCGACTTGGGATGTGAAAGACTCTGTCACCCCGCAGGAGGTGGCCCAGAGTCGGAACGACAGCACCCCGTGCCCGGCTCCAGTAGCAGGGTTTGTGGTAGATCAGGGAGCCACGCCCGTGCCGCCGAGAATAGCGCGCTCAATATCAAACATCGAATCCCCTCAACGCCTACGCGAGGGCGGCGCCTCACGTCTCCCGTCCCAGGCCTTGCTCGCGACCAGTGTTGTTGCAACCTCGACCGCTACGGCTCAGGGGCAGTTTGGCTCGGACAGAATCACACCAACCTCGACACTTCCCGAGGCTCGGGATATCCCAGACGATTTGATGCTGTCTTCGCGGCCATCATCTGCAACCTTGCTCGACATGCAGTTTACCCCGACGCAGCCGAATCCGACACCTCCTATCCCCTTTGGGCGGTCCAAGAGCCAACTAACTTTACTTCTGGAAAGAGAAAAAACTCGCAAGGGCGAAGGAATCTAGTGGCCTACTCCCGGGAAGTAGCAAAGCTTGAAGTTCTGGAGGCCGGGAACCCAGCAGCCTACAGTACAGGGCGGTACACGGCGGAACACAACCTGGGGTTGTTGAGGGGACATTTTGATTTATCCACTATTTAACTTTAATGGCACACCGGCACATAGACGGGTGTTGAAACGGAGGTTAGCATGGCGCATTTCTGGCGTTGTAATCAGGGGATATGGCTAGCAATTGCAGAAGCACCCTAGGCTTCATGACCTGCATAGCGTTTGGTTTTACACGGCAAAGCATGGCCTGGCTGAGGTATGGATTCTTTCTTATAAGGTATGTAGTCCCGGGAATCTACTTGTATAACACAATGTGCTCGTGTCAAGCCTGTGCAGTGCAAATGGGCTCTGGGGGCAATGTAGTGAAGTCTACGAATTGAAATGCGAACAAAGCCGTTGACGGGCTTATCTCTGCCGAGCCACCACGTGGGTCAAATCGGGGTCACGTTGAGCTGGACCGGGCGGCCTACGAGACCCATTTGGAAGACGGAGTGACGGGGTTGCCGGGTGGTATCAGCGAAACCCGAATTTACATCTCTCGCGGGCCTTACGAAAGAGAAATTGCGCTATAGGGATCGGATACCCAGTCTTGGTTCACATGGGATTTTTAGGTAATTCGACAAGCTGATACCAACTGCGGATGGAAATGAGAGGTATTGATAGTGTGGTTCAGTGGTCGATATGGCCCCCACGTTTCTCGAGGTAAGATGATGGTTTCCATGGCTTGGGGCGGGTTGGCCGCACCCCTCACGGCGGACGCGGACGCGCGCGAACGGTGGGAAACCAAACCTGGGGACGGAGACACCCCCGCTGCGGGGGAGAAATTGGAGAACGACTGGACTGCACCCGACCTACCCTAGGTACGGGACAGCGGGCGGGGGGGTCGCGGGCCGAGTCGGTCAACAAACTGGAAATGGCGGGAGATGGATGTGATATCGGCCCTAGCCTGGCCCTGAACCTCCTGCCTATCTGCGCTTGGGAGTCCGTGGGCGTGGGCGACTGGCGAACATGTGAGTCGTGGGCAATGTCACAGCGGGGGGGGGGGGCTAGAGCTGGGTATGTTCGCCGAGGATACCCTGGGGCCCGGGTCCTGTGGTGCACCCACCTCCACCCTTGCCGTGTGCGCTGGCGGGGGAGATGGGATGCAACCTGGGCCGGGTTGCGCTCGGTCGTGTCATGACTCGAGGGCCTAGACGGACGGGCTGGACGTCAGGGAATGAGGGGCGGATGGGCGACGTGACGTATGTGGGTGTAGCTTAGTGAGCCTAGCCTAATGTAAATGGGGCAGGTGGGTAGCGCAACACGCGATAGGGAGGTGAGGACTGGTGATACCTTCAAAAAGAAATCAGTGTTCGGGGAGCAAATATCCCGAGGGTAAAAAAAAGAAAAGTGAAAAATAGAAGTCTTACGACGGGAATTGAGCCCGACGTGGGGGTCGAACCCACAACCTTGAGATGGTGTGGATTTCTCCAAGTAAGAGTCTCACGCTCTACCGATTGAGCTAGCCGGGCAGGCTAGTTGAATTGTTGAGAGGGTCATTGAAAAGTGGACACATGTAACAGCTCCAGAAGCCAGTGGATCCATATGAATTGGAAAAGAGTTAAAGTATACTGTGCACTTTCTTGAAAGGTAGGTTATCTCTATAGCCTGAAAACAAACACAGAAATAGATAGCTTGTGGTTGCTGGAGGTTACATGCAATCGTGATTAGCTGCCCTGTGAATGGCTCTGCATGATTTGATTCCCTGCCGGGTGCCGGGTGCCGTGTAATGAAGGTAACGATTTGGAGTTTGATAGGGTTTGTAGGTTCGATTGACCTGCATAGATAGGTTGAGAACTTTGGTTCATAATTTAAGGCCCTAGGTCCCAAGTGCTTGAAGGAAGCCCAATTATCCAGCCCATGCTACTCGCCCGAGTTTACTTGAAGCAAGACTTCCCATAAGCAACAGACTGGTACAAGTTGCTCTCTATGTACATGATATTACAGCCACCCCTAATTTTTGACACACACTTCTCCCTATCCCCAAACTACCAGAAAGACATGCCTCGATTTTGGTATCATACATCAAACAATGACCATCCCAGCATTCAAGGTTACAAGCAACATACAGCCCCTAGGATTACCGTGGTATCACCCCGCCCCTGACTTCCACATCGCCACACCCCCCGACTTCCTCCTGAGAGCGCCCGGTCGCCCCTGCTCTCCTAGCGACTTCTTGAGCCGATTGCCCAAGCTCAACCTCGCCGCCGAGATCGGCTCATCCCCCTGAACCGGAGGTTTATTTCCTCCTCCTAGCCCAAACCCAGCCAAGCCCGCAGCTAGGCTAGGGCCCACGCTCGATGAGCCCGACGACGACCCCGACGGGACGGCGTGCGGTCCAGGACTCGAGGCGACACTTTCCCACCCCCTATCAATGGCATCCACCCCGCCATTACGGCCATGCGCGGTATTTGTCCGCCTGACGCGTCGCGTAGTGTTGCCCGGGTCGTTGCCTCCAGTACCGGTGCCGGTGCTGGCGCCATCCTCCTCAAGCCCGACGCCAAACTTCGCCAAGTCCGCCGGCACGGAGCGGCGCCGAGGCTTAATCCCCGTCTTCAAGGCTACCGCGGCAGCCACAGCAGCTGCATGCCTCGCATTCGCCGCACCGGTACTCCTATCTGCTGGGGCGCCGGCCCTCATCCGCATCATGGCCATAGCTGCCTGCAGCGCCGGCCAGCTCTCAACCTGGCCATTGCTTGCCTCCTGCACACAGTTGCACTCGTCTCCGGCAGGACACTCCACCTCGCCCATGGCGTGCCACTCGGCCAGGCACGCCTCGTGCGAGGCACAGCCGCAGCTGAGGCAGGGCGGGTACAGAGCGGCGACGGGCTCGAGGCAGTACACACAGCGTAGCTGTGTCTGCGGCGTCTTGGAACCAGGGCGCGCCGTCTGGCAGCGCTGGCAGATACCGACGGCGCCGCCGACCTGGCCGTTGGTTGCGCGGCTATACTCGACGGGGTCAAGTTGGATCTCGTGGATGCGACATATGCCCGTGACGTCAAGGCCGCGACCCGAGGAGATGAGGGCGTGAAGCTGCTCCTTGCGGCCGCCGAAGGGCACGGTCGGTGATGTTGTACCTGTGGTGACGTGAGGGATGCTGTTAGGTTCAGCGGCCGTGTAGGACTCTGGGTAGCTTTCGGCGGTGCCGCTGCGGAATGAAGACGATGTGTCTTCCTTGAGGACATTGAACTTCATGATCTCGAGGCGTGAGAGCGGCTGGCCCCACATCTGTAGCATCTCGGCGTATGCGTAGCGGTAGCTAGAGTAGACCTGGCTACGGCTAGGGTTGAGCAGGGGGGTAGACATCCATCCGTCGTCGTCAAAGAGCCCCTGGTTCTCGGGTATGCAGGTGACTGCATACGGAACCATGGACATCATTTCGTCTCTGCGGAAGTCGTCATCTGATAACGAAGTCCGTGCTGTCCCCGGTGTATCGGGAGCAGCGCCAAACACAGTCGAGGCACCCCATGTCACGGTGCTTGGGGCAAAATTGCTCAGGATGGTCTCGGCAGGACTTGGGCGCTTCCGGGGAAATTCCGGTGGCGACGCTGACACGATGCCAGCGAGCGTTCTCGGCAGACTGGCAGCAATCGTAGCGGCAACCGTCGAGTTAGACCGATAGAAGAGTCGGTTGTTGGGGGAAGTAGACAGGCTGTGGGTACCGTGGTCGGGGTCTCTCAGATGGGGATGTTCTCGGCCCGACTTTGGGGGCGTCTCTCCGCAGGAGTATGAGTTGGAGCCAGGCTCAGTCAATGTTACTATATCATCCGAGCCTTGAGAGTCGGAATACATAGCTGGGGTGTGAGCCGTCCTGGGGGTTGTGATGGCCGAGCTTGCCTGGCTCTTGAAGTTCATGCTCCATAGCGCAGGATCGGACGGAAAGTACTCAAGAGAAAACGACGGCGCCTTCATTGGGAGCGGTGTCTCCGGCTGCGTCAGGTGCGACTCCGCGTAGGCCACGCCGTCTTCCGTTGAAGAGTCGCCAAAGATACAGGTCAGCATCGCCAACATCTGGATATCCGCAGCGCGCTCAAAGTATTCAAAGAGGTCGCTGATCAAGTCTTGGGCTAGCGGATGGAATCCCCACCGAACTCGACCAGAGAGATTGACTTCTAAGCTCGAAACTTCACTGCCTTCGTCGTCGTCGTCTCTTGCGCGCGCAGCAGCGTCCCGCGCGATAACGAGAACGGACTCCCCCCTACGTTGCATCTCATGGAGCTCAAGCGGTATATCCTTCCTCAGGAGAAGCGCTGCATAGTTCCATACGTGGACCAGGTCAGGGTAGCCGTATTTTTCGGCGACCGCGGCATTATGCCTGCAAACATCGGCGCCGTCGCCAAATATGGCATACTCCTGAGCAAATTGCCTCTTCGATGGTAGTTCGCCCCTCATGTCATATATCGCGATGACATTCTTGGGCTTACTAGCCCTTTTCCTGCTTGCGCCCGTGCCGGTGCCGGTCCCGGCGCCGGTCCCCGCTCCGCTGGAGCGGACGGAGTCGTTCGCACTCCATGTTTTTCTGCTGAAATGACGGCCGTTTTGATACCACAAACTAATCTTATGCACAGTGGTTGGCTCGGAGCCGCTGGATGAGTCCGATTCTGAACCGTCCGACTCTCCGGATGGGTCGTCGGTCGTCGAAGTTTCGTCGTTGAACCTCCGCTTGGGAGGTGGCGAATTGGGGGCAAGCCGCCCAAATCCGGCAAAGGTTGGCTCTCCCTTGGACCGTTCTCTACATGTGTCTGCATTAGAGACTGCAAATAGAGCCCTTGCCTTGTCCTTCTCTTCCTTGGTCGGAAAGAAGCAGACGAGTCGCCCGTCGTTAGAGAACCTAGCGCCGCAATACCTCGGCAGCGGGGGTATAACAGGGCGTTGAGTCGAGGCCAGAGTAGCCGTGGGATCAAGCTCGACGCTCCCCGTGAGCTCCTGTGACATGGATGCTGAGCCTCCTGTGGGGATGTCGTGTTCATCCTCTTCGCTAGAGCTTTCGTCTGCAAGTGCGTCCATCTCATCATCCAGATCCCTCACGTTTTTGAAGAAGGTTGTGCTAGTCTCAAGATCTACCTCGCCGAGCAAGTATGTAAACGCGACGCCAAGACAGTTTTCTCTTCTCTTCAAAAATCGGCTTCCAAGCTCATGTAGCTCACGCTCAATCTTCTTGTGGGTTTCCTCGGGCATGAATGAGCTCTTTTCGACGATAAATCTCGGCGCCTTCGTCTTGGGATAACTAGCAGGAATATCGACTTTGACTTGGATGAATATTGTCTCTTGGTTGACGCCCCATGGACCCTTCAAAGAGGCGTTCAGAGTGAGAGTATCCATATCGATATTCTCCCACCTCACATTGGGGAGCTGGGTGCTGATCCGGAGGAACTCATCTTGGATCGTCTCAGGATCGCCCCAGCCGTCGTCATAGCCGGGACTGAATATACCAGAGTCCTTGGATCCTGACCGACCGGGAAAGTCCGAACTGGATTTCCTCTTGGACATGGTGATGCCCTTCATCCATCCTATTTGAAGCTGGCTTTTATCCACACTTTTCCCGGTCTTCGTCTTTGCCTTCATCGAGGTTGTTCTCCAAGTCGGCCCAACTCGGCGTAGCCGCGAGTGAAGGCCTAGGCTAAGGGCACTGGAGCGGAACTGTCCGCCACTTCCCGGGCGAGGGTCGCTCATGGTTGCGGTCCGCCGATCACGATGGGCCGTGTCGTCAACGGTACGAAAGGTTTTGTATGCTGCTCCCTTCCGTGTAATGAAGAGGTTCTTCCTCAAGGGGGTTCCCCGAAAATAGCCAACAGATTCAAAGACTCTGGGCTCCACCTTTTGGAGTCGCAGCTCATTGTCCTCGCCCCAAGAGACTAGCTGGAACTCTCGGTTATCCACGTTGTCATTGCTGACGCCTCCGCGGCTCCTCCATAAAAACTCCTTGACCTTGTGGTTCCCGTGGCCCTGAAAGATAGCAACGGGCTCAACTTTTCCGTCAGCCGGGTAGTCGGCGTTGGGGCGCCGGTCGTAGAGGTAAAGGTTTCCCGGTTCATTTTGAGGCATGGCGAGCAAGCCACGGCCGAATGGGGTATGTCGCGCTCTCCATACCGGAAAATTTGTTTTGATAACCTTCTCTGGCACCTCGTCGGCTCTACTGTAATCCCAGAACTTGATACTCTTGTCCAGTGAGCAAGTAACAAGAGCAGTTGGTTTGGTGCGGTTCCAGTCCAGGCCGTAGATCTTGGAGGTGTGGGCACTGATGGTTTTCAGGGGTTCGGCAGACCTTCTGTCGTCCCATATATGGAGCCAGCGATCGTGGGACGAGGCGAGGATATGGGGATCCTGGCGGTTGTATTTGACCTGGGTCGCACCAGCAAACCAGTCGCAGAAGGTTAGGACAGGTTGCCTTGGCCTCCGGAGATCCCAGCAGTTGACATAGCCATCAACAGCGCAGGTTGCCAGAGAGTCAGGGTGATGGGCGGAGAAATTG